CAGAGAGCACTTAATACCACTTATTGGTACACAGTAAGCACTATCACCTAGTGGCACACAGTAAGAACTTACTACCACTTAGTGGCACACAGTAAGCATTTACTATCACTTAGTGGCACACAGTAAACACTTACTATGCTCGACCTGATTTGGGTCAGGGGACACTGGTCCCTATAAGCCATGCTTGATGAATCAATGCTGCAGCTAATAGCTTTGGTGTGGTGGAAACAACACTGGATTTGGAGTCAGAGGATCTGGGTTCAAATCCTGCCTCTGTCATTTTCTTATGTAACCCTGGGCAAGTTACTTAACATGTTGGGTCTTAGTTTCCTCAACTTTGAAAGGAAAGAGAGAAAGAGTAGGACTTGGACTAGATGTCCTCTAAGGTCCTTTAAGGCAGCTAGGTTTTCTAGTGGATAGAGTGCTAGGCCTGAAGTCAGAAAGACTCATCTTCATGAGTTCAAATCTGCCTCAGACACTTACTAGCTGTGTGACCCTAGGCAAGTCACTTAACCCTGTTTGCCTCAGTTTCCTCATCTGAAAAATGAGCTGGAGAAGGAAATGGCAAACCACTCCAGTATCTTTGCCAAGAAAACCCCAAATGGAGTCACAAAGAGTCAGACACAACTGGACAACAGCAAAGGTCCTTTCTGGATCTAAATCTGTAGGATTTGGTGGATTCACTCCCTCTGCCATCCTTCTCCCTTCCTCCCTCCAGCATGAAGAGAGGGTCCTGGGCTAGTAATTAGCCCTGCTCGGAGCACAAAACTCAGCCAAGCTCTACCTCAGAGCAGCTACTTTCCTCAGCCCTGTACTCCAGCAGCAGGAGTAATTCCTTTCCATGAGCTTCTCTCTCCTTTCACACATTCCACTTCCCTTCAAACATCCAGCATCCTTTCCTGAAACCAGCCTCTGTACATAGCTAGAAGCCTCCAATTCTATCTCCTGGTGCTCAGGGGTGGGGGAGCAGGACAGAGTAGGAATTCCCTCAGGGATCTAGGCACGTAGGGCTGGGTCAGAATCTGAGGGGCTAGGATGGAGCTGAATCAGAGTATCTCCCAGTTTCTGACTGATGACTCAAGTTGTCTAAAGAGATTGGGGAAAGAGGGTTGGGTAGAAGAATTGGGGAAAGGGAAGGTTGTCTTACTCTTTCCTCTCGGAGGTATGCTGGTTTCTTTAGTCCAGGCCCTGGCAATGCCTCAAGCAACTGGTCTGGAGCTTGGCAGCCCCTTTTTGAGCAGGGATTGGATTAGCTTCTATAAAGCAGACTAGTCTTCTCTCCCTAGGGCCAAGCCATTAGGCAGTTTCCATGGGGGATGAGGGGGAGCAGATCTCTTTTGACTTCCCTTATTCTCCAGAAAAAGTGCTAATGGCCAAACACTCTTTAGGGTCATGCCACTTGTTTGCACCACTCAGCATACTTACTCTTCATTTGATTATAGGGAAAGGTACAGAGAAAGGGATGGAGGGAGGCATCCCCCAGGGGCGTAAGAAACCAGGAGGCTCGTGGTGGCAGGGTCTGTAATGAAGTTCAGGACCTTTAAGTTTCATTTCTTGCCTATTGATTTGGAAAAGCCAGAGACAGCCTGTTCCTTCCCCTTCCCCATGCCTCAGTCTCCCCCTTTGAAACAAAAGAAAGCTCCTCACTCCCTTTTCCTGGTCCTGTTGCTGATTAAGAAACAAAGTGGCCCCTGCCGACTCAACTTCTCCCCCACCCCCCTCCTGCCCAGTTCTCTCCAAATCTCCCATCCAGATGCCACGAAGGCCCAGGCCTGACCCTCTCTAGCTGGTGCGGCATGACAGGTTGAGGGGGCTGGGTGACAGATGAGGAGAGGGGAGGGGCTGGGCCAGCACCTGCAGATGGACAGACAGGCTGCTCTGCTCTGGAAAGCCCTTCTCTTTCAGCCCTGCCCAGGGAGTAGGGCTAGGGGGAATCAAGAGGTGGGGGTGGGGAGTGTGATGGGGGAAGGGGGGGGGGAGCGGGAGCTGCTTCTCCCAAGGCTCTGTCTCCTTGTCAGTGTTCTTCTCCCTTAAGCGACAGCTTCTAATTCCGGCTGTTTGTGCTTCTCCTCTGCTTTGTGCTAAAGTCTCAGTTTTTTTCAGCTCTGCTATTTCTTCTTGGTTCAGAATGTACCCACGGAGAAGTCAGAGCAGCCGGCTCTGGTGTTATAGCCTTGGCCTTTCTGGATGGTAGCACTGCCAGAGGGGTGGGTAGAATTGGGCCCCTCTTAACAAAAGAGGCCCGATAGTTCCCTTGGTCAGACCTTAGGGTGAGATCTTAGGATTCTTCTCTTCTCCAGGGTTTTGCTTCCATACGCACCTAGGTAACAAGAACATAAGGCTAAGCGGGCCCTCATGAAGCAGGAAGAAGGGGTACCAAGGGCTCAGCAACAGGTATGGTGCAAGAAAAGGTTGGTTTTGGAGTCAAAGGACTTGGGTTTGAATCCCAGCTCCTCCAGGGACTATATTTGTGATGTTGGGAAAATGACTTTCATTCTCTGGGCCCTGGTTTCCTCACCTGTAAAATGGGGGGCTTAGCCTAGATGACCTCCAAGATTTCCTCCTCCTCTAAATCGATACATCTATGACAGAGTAGGCCAGAACTGTCCATAGACCCTGTATATCTCTTACTATATGTATGATGTTAGAAAACCCTCTGGGTCTTGGTTTCCCCATCTGTAAAATGAGGAGGTTGGGCTAGATGACCTTTCAGCTCTAGATCCATAGGCCATTAAACAGAGGAGGCCCAAGTTGACCATGGAGCTCAGGGCCAGTCTAGTGGACACATTTTTTCTCCTTTCTTTGCCATCCACACTGGGAATCAAGTGCATATTTTCTACAGCTCTAACCAGAGATGCTCTTCCTCTTAACTATCTTTATGACCTTGGGGAATTCTTTATGTCTCAGTATCCTATTCTCTAAATTGAGGAAATTGGACTGAGTCTATAAGGCCCCTTCTGCAGCCCAATTGGGTCATATTGCTCTGACTCAGGAAGCAATGGATTATTTTACAAAGGTGGGGGGAGAGAATGAGACACAAGGAAAAGAAAAGATGAATGGGTAGTCAAGAGCTGAACCCAGAAACTTTAGCTCCCTCCTTGAGTATAGATGAGAAAGGGGTGAGGGGTGGGCTCATTTCCTGACAGAGCTCACAGTGGAGATCTCTCAGAGCCCTGTACTTAGGATTTGCCAACAAATCTAACCCCTGGTCCCCAGATGCACTGCCTGCATTGCTGTGCTAGGAAATAAATGGTGACTAAGGAAACTTCTGGCATATAGGCACCCCAGTCAAATACCATAGGGCCCTGAGTCTATTTCCAGGATACTATTCCTAATAATGATGGTGGAGATAAGAGGCTTTGAGTATTATGGGACACTGTGGTCTGAAGGTTAATGCATCACCAAATCATACTCTCAGAATTAGAAAGGACCTCATCTAGTTCAGCCCATACTATGCTCTGAAGACTGGTAGGGTGGGGAGAAGTTGAGTTGGCAT